GATGATGCAGTATTCCCGTCCCTGTAGGTGGAAGGTCCAGGGGCGGTTGTCACAGGGATGGCATTGTGGCCGGGATCACCGGGATTGTCGAGGTGTCCATTCTTGTCCGCGGGGCCGTTGTTAGTGTCGGCGACACGGACGGGCTGCTCGTCGTGAGCTGGATCAGCCATGATAGGTAGTTGAATTGAGCTTTGGTCCTTAGAATTGTTCGTTAGACGGGGAAGTTGTTTCCCACAGACGGCGCCACTGATCTGACCTGATCAGAAATGGACCGTCACGGCTGGCTCCGAGCAGAAAGCTTTTTTGAACGAGGTGGGGGGGGTACCTGCAAGACACTCCGATGCTGAAGTAAGTAGGAGTACGAGCAGATAATAGTAAGTTGAGGTTAGAATGATGAATACCTGACCCTCTGGAAACAGAGGGTATTTATAGCCTCCAGCGCTGGGCCAAGGTTCCTTCATTGGGCCGGGCGGATTTGGCCCAATGGAGGAACTGCCAGGTTCTACGTGGGTAGTGGGGACCCGCACGTGGTCCCCTTCCTGGATGTTCTGCGTGAAGTGCGGGCGAACGAAGACGCGGTCTTTCCGGAGTATCGTTGGGGGAACGGTGGACTGAGTCTGCCCTAGTTGGGATGCTCGAGACAACGTCGAGCTGGACAGCAGGGTGTCGAGCTGGACGTCAGGACGTGGAGCTGGACAACAGGATGTCGAGCTGGACGTCAGGACGTGGAGCTGGACGGCAGGATGTCGAGCTGGACGTCAGGAGGTGGAGCTGGACATCATCACGTGGAGTTGGACAGCGGGATGTCGAGCTGGACATCAGGATGTCGGGCACGGATGTGACCCCTTTGCTCGGCGTGGTCCTCAGTAAGTCCCTTTGGACTGGGCCTTAACAATGCTTTTGGGCCTGTCGGGCCCAGTCCAGAACAAAAACCATCTATAACGATTCCTTGAGCAACACTTCCGCCTTCAGTCTTCCTCTCTTTCTTCTCTCCTATTGAGATTTAAGGTGAATCTATTTTATTTTTGTACTATCTTGAATCCACTAAAACTCCGTTTAAACTAAAAATGGAACTCTTATTTATACATTTGAAATAGGTAAGCTTGCTACGCGCATCACTCATCTTCACATGATCCACCTTCTTTCTTCTTTTGTTAAGCAATGCTTGGTCACCCTGCCATTTTATACTAAACACACTGCATTTGATTTATGGGGAAAACATTGTATTTCTCTATTAAAAAAAATTGTTTTAACAACACATTGTGTTTACAGAAAACTACATGTGTTCGTTGTTGGATTGGGCTAGGCGAGCTTGGGCTTCCCAAGTGATATTTTGGGTTAATAGTTTTTCCATTTAGCCCTAGCGGCTCCTCCTTGTCTATCTAGGACTTGTCATGCTCTCTTGGCTTATTGAATAAATCCTCCTTTTCATTCGACACTTTTTGTTAAACAAAAATGATTAATAAATAAACTTACTGATTTTCTTGGGTTAACCACAGATGAGATAGAATTTGTACTAAATTTATTTATAAGGTGAATTTGACTAAAAGCAATTAAAACAAATAAGAGTTTATATTGAACATAATAAAAAGAGATATTAAATACCAATAATAATAATAATAATAATAATAATAATAATAATAATAATAATAATAATAATAATAATAATAATAATAATAATAATAATAATAATAATAATAATAATAATAATAATAATAATAATAATAATAATAATAATAATGATAAAAAATCATATAATTTTAAAAAATAACATAAACTTATAAACAACCTTTTAAACTATCATTCTTCAAATTATATATTTTAAAGTCACGCCTGGGGCATGTTCGATTTCTATAATCCAGATATAAGTATGGAGTGTGTCTGGATACTACAATCCATAAAATATCAGTAATTGAGAAAAAAATTAATATATTAAATCATCAAATCCAAAGGTATACTAATTTTGAAAAAGGAAATCAAAGGATAATTTGATCCAAAATCAGTTAAAATTGAGATGTTTAGATTTGAGAATTTAGGGGTTTGAGAATTCAAATGTAGAAGTGAGGGGAAGAAGGGTTTCCTTAGTCAATTGAGTGTTTTCATTCTCCAATATGAAGTTATCAAGAATACACTCCGAGTTCTAGAATTCGAAAGATATTTTTGCTTTTTTCAAAGTTTTTAAAAAGGTGTAAGGATTGAAAAAAGAAATTCTCAAAAAAACTCCTCTGATGATATAAAATTTATTTGGGAATTTCTTAACGCATTTTAAGGATTATTTTTCTACTCTAGTGAAAAACCAAAACTACCCTTAAAATCTAGAAATACATTTTTGGACACACCCTAATCACATACATTTTAGTCGTTTTTGAGCTACGCCCCAATAATATGACTGAATTTAATTCGAAAATGCATATCCTTCTACCCGAAGGAAGCGAATTTTCAAAACCTACTAAACCTTAGACAAATGAATGAACAAAACAAATGCAAACACGAATATAAATTAACATTGATAACATAAAAATGAAACATTATATAGATAATTGTTAACATAAATTGAACATTACATTTCAACATCAATATGAATGTTTCAACATCTTCATAATATCCTCGATCGATCTTGCAATCGTCACATCATCTCGATCGAACCTTTTTTTGTATCGGTTAAATGCATTCCACATAACCCTTAAATCCGCATTTGTCTTCAGCTCAAAGTTACTAAAATTTTCTTTCATTGTAAATCGAGGGTGAAAAATACTCAAGCTTCATCTTCAATTGTTTGAGTATTGTAGGAGATTCTCCAATATTAATTTCATATCTACAAGAGAGGTGTACTATGTGACCTTAAATTCAATTGATGGCTTCGTGTCGTTTAAGTAGTGCTTACTGGTGTTTTTCAGTAATTCAAATCACAAGGTTTAATTCACTAAAGGGATTAAACTCAAAAAAATCATATGAACAACTTATGCCAAATAGTTTTAAGAAAAGATGTCTGTGCTTGAATATTGATGTTTGAATATAGATGATTTGGATAGAAATTTCAGTAAGAACAATGTAGTATTGTTCAACGGGACAAAATAAATAAAAAACACAAATAAAAGTAAAATAAAGTGAATGCTTGGATAAAAGAATTATAAAAGGGACGCAGATTCATACATATTTCCTCACAAACTCGTTTCTCTCTGTGACTAGGGTACATTGAGTTTTATAGTGATTAATGATAAATTTGCGAACCTTTATAACATGAATGAAATTGACTTATATACTAAAAATCAATAACCATCGATAACGGTTACCACCCTAGAACTCGACACATATCCTATTACACAGACCTTTATTCTCTACTTTGCTTACACATATCCTTTGTCTTTGAACTTTTAACTGCTACCTAGGTCGACAACTGCTCTTGCATCTTTTAATTTCTTATGTTGAGAACGTATCTAAGTCTTCTAACTCTCTCTATCAAATACACTACATCATTATAAATCTTTTCCATATTCTGGACATGTTTTGAAGAGAGAATGACCATAATCTTGTAGATTCATTCCCGTGACTCCTATAAACAAGACTCAATCGAGATACTAGGCCATTTAATCCAAGGAATCCAGAATATGATATGTTTCACCACACTTGATAGACGAGTCTAACTCACCACCTTAGTCGAAACGATCAGTATGTCAAAACTCTAACCTGGGCATCTTATATTTAGAATTTTTACTCTTTTCTTGCACTTGTTATGTCGAGAATTGAAGTTCAAATTCTCAAGCTAACAAGTAGACATATGCGACATGCAAAATTATGTTCATTTTAGTGTAATGTCATTTTGTAAAAAGTATGAGATGAGAGACTCATATTTAAACAAGTTCTAGGTTAATATGAACCTTAGAAATATAATCATATACCAGAAGAAATTCCAGAGATGCATTTTCTGATACACCCTATCATGATCTTACGTAAATGCATTTTTGAATCCATCCAACACATAATAAATTTTAGAAACAAAGCATGTTTTAGAATGAAAAATATAGAAATATTTTTTAAACTTAAACATATATTAAAATCTTTGAAAATTTATATATTTGACATCATTAATATTAAGGCAAAATTACATACAAAACATGTCTAACCACATAAATACATTGTTGAATAAAAATTAAAATGAATCAAAACATGTGTCACCTTTCAAATCTACACGCATGGGTGATTGCGCCTTTGACTTTTGTTTATCTGTTTCTCTTTCAATCTTGTTCAACTTGGTGAATTCTTGCATCCTATCCAAAAAATTATTCGACAAAGTTTCAGTTTTCTTTGTTGAATGAATTATCCACTCCGGTGATGTCAGTGGTATAAGACATCCTAAATTCAAATAAACCTGAACAAAGTGTCACATTTTTTACAGTCATCCAATACACATAATATGATCATTTGGATTTTGAGGTAGGGCAATGCGCAGTGGAAAAATATTTTCGAGATACAATATCTTGTCAAATCAATATACACTCTTTCATGCGCACATCTATTTTTCTTCTGAAGTCAGTTCACTAATGCAAAGAATACAAAATTCATGAATTACATCAAAATTTTCTTTTTTCCTAAATAGTCGTGTGTATGATTCTTTTTTACCCTTTAACTCTTTGATAAGTTGTTGGTTGACAAATAGATGATCTCTTTTTTGAAAACACTTTTTTTTTTTTGCAATTTTAAAGCTAGAGAATCCGGTAAAAGTTTGCCAAGAAAGAGACATCATATTATACACAATTTTTTACATCATATGATACAATATACATGTTAGGTAAACAACTTTAGTTACTTCAATGTTATAACAAACTTAGAAAATTGTTGATTTTAAGTAGACAAACTTTATCAGTAAAAAGAAGTACAAACTTTGTAGTCACAATAATAATAAAGCACGCACGAAGTTACATCGATATACTTAAAGGAATTGCATTTTTTTTCTTCCATTTTGAAGCTGCTGAAACCTAAAACTAATACATTTCTTCCATTCACATGCTACAAATATTATCAAGTTGTTCTTGAAAAATGTCAATGAAATTAGCCATTCTAGACCTTTCAAGAGCCAAACCAACCTCAATTCCACCTCCACCATCTCTACAATCCGAAAGAGAAATCGACCCAAAGGCATCAATATGAACTGCATCAGATTTCACAGGCTTCCCCCACCCAAAATCAGTCTCATAAATAGCAAGTTTTGGTGAACCTGCAACCACTACCAAAGACAGACCTGGTTTTGATAATTCCCTATAATCAGGCATCAACACTTCATCTACTAACAAATCATCACTCTTGAATTCTCTTATCTTCCTTTCAATAGCATTTGCAGCCACAACAATACCATCTTTTCCAACCAACTCGCCCCTCTTTACAACCACAGTATAAGAGGCAAGACAATTTCCAAAATAGGTTTTTGGTAATGAATATTCAGGACGATCGCGACAATCTGCTAAAAACAAGAAGTTGCATAGATCATCAACAGCACCATCACCACCTGTGTTTTTCTCTGATCTTACCATACAAAACCAAATCAAGGAACATGTCACAACAAAAGTTGACATATGTTTTGTTGTGTCTTTACATTTATCAACAAACCATTTCTTCAGTTTCTGAACTTGTTCATGACTCAATATTAAACTAGTTCGTACCTTGTCAGCATAACTATCACTATAAGCATCTTCATGTTGGTAAATGAGCTTAGGAGCCTTAGGGTGTTTAAGAACTGTGTCTCTTTCATGGGAAGGAAGATCAAGAGGTAGAGATAATAAACTATTGTCATTGTTTGCTATGGCTTTTGAAAGAGAGGCCCAATATTTCATGAAATGGTGAAGTGATTTTCCGTCTGCAGCGACGTGTTTGAAAGTGAGGCAGATAGAGAAGCCGGAGTTTGGTAGAAGGGTGAGTTGAATAGCCATTAAAGGGATGGCAATTGTACGGTTTGGTTCTATACGAGGTGGAGGTAGGTTAGCAACAAGAGGGTGCCAGTTTTGAGCGTCTTGTGAATCAGATATGAGGAGGTTGAAGTCTGCGGAGGATTCAGAGACGGTGAAGGAGAGAGAGTCGCCGTTGAGGTAGCGTATGTAAGGGGGGTTATCGGAAATAGGAGGGATGATGAGGTTGGAGGAGAATGGGAAGAAGTGTTGGAGGGTGAGAGAAAGAGAGTGTTTGAGAATGGGAAGTGTTGTTTGGAGGAAGTGATGAGGTTGATGAGGAAAGCGGTAGAAGAAGATGCGTTGAACTGGGGGAAGGCAGTAGAACCATGAAATGTCAAAGAGAGTGAGGGGGAGAGTGGTTGGTGATGGAAGTGAATTTGGTGGTGGTGAGACTTGAATGTGTTCTATCAACTTCATCATAAGTAATCAGTAATCTCTGTGTTTGTGTTGTTTAATGTTGTAATGTTGTAATGTTGTAATGTTGTTGAATTAGAAGGAAATAGTACCCTAAACATTATTGGCGTAGATGGGTAGTTGTTGAAAAATTTGACATTCGGTGAACTCCAACCAGACATCTTAATTTCTTATCTAACAAGATATTGTTATATTGTTTGTTGATATAGACGAGGAAAAACATAAAAAGATTACTCAATTTCTACAGCATCACAATAATTGATTATTGCTACTTGAGATATGCAATTTCTACAACAAAAATAGACTCCTTTTATTTTTATTTATAGATAAATTTTAATTTTTTTAAATTTATTAAATAAATAATATATTTGAACGGTATATAACTTAGATATATTAATTATTTAATAATTTAAAATATAAAATTTATTTATAATTTTTTTTAAAAATTTATTTAATAAATAATATATTTGAACTATAAATACATTAATGATTTAATAATTTAAAAAATAAAATTTATTTATAAAAGAGAACGAAATATATATATATATATATATATATATATATATATATATATATATATATATATATATATATATATATATATATATATATATATATATATATATATATATATATATATATATAAAATATTAACGTAAGAGTATAAAGTAATTTAATATTATATCAAATACTTATCAAATTTTTTCTTTATGTCACAACCATTTATTTGATCACATTATCTTAAAAATTATTTTCATTCTCTTTGACTTTTATCTATCACTTAAAAATACATTTATGTAATCACATCTTTTTTCAATCTTTTTTCTTCAAAATTTATCAAAAAAAATTTTAATAGATTAGTCTAAAATTCACTTGCCTCGGTCTGACCCATTAAAAACAGTCTCGGTCTGACCCATTAAAAACATATATTCAATATATACTGAACCAAAAAAATAGAATTGTGTTTTTTAAAAATATTTTGAAGCTAGTCTCGCATTAAATTATTAGATAAATTAATAAGATAAATTAGGTCCATTTTAACAACTCTAATAAAGAGGACTAGGGGGTGTCCATGACCACCTCAAATATTATAAAATATTGTTTTTTTTAATAAGTATGGTGAGAATTCTTATATTTTAAGCAGAGGACGTGCGATCGAATCGATTAACTATCTATGTGTCAAATCATATAAAATATAAGATTTGAAATGTAAAGTTTTTTTTTACTTAAATGAACTTTATAATTGGATAATCGATACTATTATTGTAAATTGATTTTAATTTTTAAAAATAAAAATAAATGAAAAATAACGTGATATTGAATATTATTATTTGATTGAATGATGATAATTTATTTAATTAAATTCAAAAGGTACAAAAGTTTTTCCGTTCAAATTTTATTAAAGTTCATAATCTAACTCTATAAAGTTGATTACTTAATAGACCTAACTAAAAATATTTTTTTTAAATAATCATTTTAATTTTTTTTAAATAATCATTTTTCAAAAAAATTATTAAAATAACTATTTTTAAATAAATGAATTTGTCACACAGAAGTCAAGTCACTCTATAAGGCGCATGCATGTAAATTAGAGAGGAGGCGCCACACTGCATGATTTGTCCTCCTAAGTAATGTCATGCACTATGGCGTATGCATGTAATTTTAAGGAGGAGACACCTGTAATAGTCCAAATTTGCCCTATCCTTTTACTTTTATCTAGCTTATGTACCTCACACTTTTCTCATGTATATAACCTTCATTAGGTCAGCTAACACATCATGCATCATTAATCAATAAATTTTTGGCATGGGATTAGGGATTTCGAGGAATTAGGGTTGTTGTATGGCTTTAAGGCTCTCATCTTCGCACAAGCTTGTTTCAATTGATTTCTCCATAAATCATTTGTGTGAAGCTAGGGTTTTCATGGACTGCTTTATCATCAAGCTACGGGGCTATTCTCTTCTTCTCAACATTAAGTTGCAAGGATTCTTTCTTCAATGCTTAAGAATTAGGGTTTTCATCTATTATGCTTCAATTGGGGATCATTGGATTAGGGCTCGATCTTTTGGTTGTCTTGAGCCTCTCTTTCTTCAACAATGTGGACTTGTTTTGAATGATATAATTTTTGGTTCTCATCAAATACTTGCCACCTCAATTGCAAGTTAACTTGAATTACTGAGAAATGATTATTGATTTGGATTTGTTGAAACTTCTGATCGGACTCAGATTTAATATTGATTCAAGGTCTTATTAAGCTCATGATTTGTTAATGGTCGATTCAAGATAGGGTTGGGAGATTCGTTCATTTGGTTTCAAGGAAGATTCATTCATTCAAGTATTACTCAAGGAGGATATCTCTTGATAAGATTTTGATCATTACAAGTTAGGATTTTCAATTGACCTTCTTCCATCAAGAGAAGCTTAAATTGTTATTTGACTTACATGTTTGGTCTTTTCCATATATGGGTCCAAAGGAAGTTGAGAGTTGTAGTCCTAAACTTGGAAAGGAAAATCACGTTGAATCTTTTGAAAGAAGTATATGTGAGTTCAAAGATTCATGAGGAATGCTTTTTAGATCAAAATACCATAGCTTCAAATATCCAATACATCATACATATTCAAATTATCAATTGAAAGAAAAACCCATGGCAATTTCAACCCATGGCAATTTCAAGTTGTTACAGAATATCATGGTTCATCCAGGTTCACCATGTTACATTCCAAGTTTCGATCGTAATTCCATTCACACATTAGAAATGATCCAAAACCATTTTAATCTACCATTCAAAAACCAGATTTCCATTATAAAGCCAGTCCAAATACACTATTGTTAATTTAATCATTCCATTACAAAAATACACATCAAAATCCACATTGAAATACCTAAAGCCTATGTATCCTAAACCTAAGGATCCAAGCATTACATTTTCCTATATTCATGGCCATGTACATGTTGCTTCATTAATCTTCATGCCTCATATTGCAAGCTGCCAATATCGCGCATTCCTCGCCCAAAATTTGTCTGAAACATCACAAAAACCTACATAAATACCACTAACAATAAATCAGAAGGAGAGATTATTTCAAACCAATCCAGCAATATGGATTCAGAATCAAAATAACTTCAGTTTACAAACATAAAATCAAAGGAAAAAGCAATAAACAGAAAACAGAATTCTATAAGATTTTCCCAGCTGACTGTCAAAACAGAAGTATAACAAACAAAATCTCCAGCTGGCATTAACAAAATTCGAATTTCACAACAAAATTTCTAACTGTTTTGAATGGCTAGCTTGCAAATGACCATAACAGAAAACTATCGTTCTCTCACAACGATAACGGAACCTCACTCTTTCTCTCTCACTGGACCACAGCTCCTCTCGCTCTCTTCCATGCAACAACCTGATTCTTTTTCTTCTCTCTCATGATTTCACAAACACAAAAACACTACTCTTGATTCCCTCTCAAGGGCAAGAAGATCAAAGCAACTTTTCTCTCAAGTTTGCTGAAGAACACAAAGGAAGTTGAATAAATCTACCTCTCTCTCTCTCCTCAAGAATTCCCCCTCCCTCTCCTTCTAGAGTTCTCCGATCTTTGATCCGACATCGGCGAACTCTTCTCCTCAACCTCCTCTTCGATTCCACGGTTGGTTTTCTTGATTTAAGCACTCTTGCATAATTAATTCTTTAAATAAGCACTTTTCTAGAATTGATAATTGAAGTGAGTTTTGAATAGAAAATTGAATTGTGATTGTGGATCTAGTGGTGGAATTGTAAACTGAGTGATCAAAATGCTTAGATACGGAATTGGATGATCAATAATCACTTTTACAATTAATTGATTCTCAAGAAAAGTGCTTATTCATGTTGTTTAACATTGTTGCCTTTGAGAATTGATGAGAAATCTGAATTTGCATGTGATTTGACATAGACTAGAGCCTTGCTTTGTTAATCAAAATCCATGTGCAATCTTGTGTAGATTATGTGCATAATGCTCGAGTCATGACATCTTGGCCTTAAGGAATGAGATCACCATTTTTTGAATGCACATAAATCCTCTTTGCTATGATGATGGCATAATTGGTGTGAATTCGGTTTTCTAATCCGGTAAAAACATGTCAAAACTCATAAAAACAGATTGTGAGTTCATACTTCGATTATGCAATGATCAAGGAGATTTTTTCGTGTGTGCATTCGTCGATTTGGTTTCCGTTTCATGCTGTGGATATTCTACAATTTTCAAGCTTTCCATTGATTCGAACCACGCACGAAACGAACACTTGATGCAAAAGTCATGTTGCTTCAAAGTTGCAAATTGCACAAAATTGCACTATCAGACAGTTTGAATTGACTTAAACTTAGCTCCGGTCAATGCAAAAATGAACAAAAACCATTTTCCACCCGCGGGAAGTGTCGCACTGACACTATGAGTCGACTCAAATCTGTGCATCGATGCATACAGTGCTTTGAGTCGACGCATACATTGATTTGAGTCGACGTAAACTGAACACAAACCAATTCTGGCCACTTGCAGGAAGTGTCGCGCTGACCCTTTGAGTCGACTCATTTTTTTGAGTCAACTCATCCCATCTTCGAGTCGACTCAAACTGCCAGCATTGCTTTTTTTTCCGTTTCTTTGGCCTTGTGTTGTACCCCAAAATTGTCCTCTTTTCATACACGCATATTATTGGTTTTATGGTTATGGAATAAAGATATATTTATCAAGCTTCTTCAGGTTACAAGTGACGTTTATTTCGTCAATGGATATTCTCAGAGTATTTTCCGTGCTGAAGATCGGTTCGCCGTTTTGCAGCGATGCGGAGTTCAAAGATTCACAAGTCCAACCCGGCGCGTCATATTCAGGTGTTCTTTCGCCAAGATATCTCTGATAACGTATTCTCAAATTCAGGTTCGGCTCAAGAGTCAATTCTTTAACTTGAACATCGTGGCTCGTTTTGAACCCGGTCTGGTGGCTAAATTTTCTTCTTGACGTCATCTACGTTTTCA